TTCCATGGTTGTTCTGAGGAGCACACTCCTCACAGATGTTATTGTTCACTTTATGTTGTTGTTGCTATCTGCCGTTGAGTCAGACCCAACTCATAGCAATCCCTCCTTGGGTTTCCGAGGCAGTATCATTACAGAAGTATATTGCCCAACCTTCCTTCTAAGGAGTGGCTGGTGGATTTGAACCACCGGCCTTCTGGTTAGCAGTCAAGTGCCTTAGGCACTATGCTACCTGAGCTCCTGTTCACTTTATAGGGCTGTCTATTGCTTGACTGAAAAGTGCTCTCTCAGAGTGGGTTCAGTTGCAGGTTTGAAGGGTGTCCTAAGGGCCATCATATCAAGGGATTCATTATGTCTGTTTTTTTGTTTTGTTTTTTATGATTTTGAATTTTATTGTACATTTTTCTCCCACTCTGTCCAGGACTATGTCGATCCTGACGAGAGTGATTGGCAGTGGTAGCAAGGCACCATCTGCTTCCTTTGGTCTCAGGTGAATGGAGGCTGTGGTTTGTATGATTCATTAGTCCTTTGGACTAATTGTTTCTTTGAGTCTGATTTCACTCTTAGTAAGTGGTGAACTTTTAACATTTAGCTTGGTCACCATGAAACCCTTGGCTTCAAGGAATTTTTATTCTAAAAAAAATGGTAATAGTATTAAAAGCCCACATTACTAGGAACCTCTCTCTCTCTCTTTTCTTACTCTGGATGTGTCTAGTTGTGCTGAAGTCGGCATTTCATGTGGAAACACTTGACCTCTTAAACAAACCTCTCAGGGGATGAATTTAGGTTTGCTCATTTCTTTCTTCTTCCTTTTGGCTGTTTAGTTTATTGCTTTCCCCATAATCTAGGTCATTGGTTTTTTTGTGTGTTTATGTGTTTTTTCCTATCAAAATCTTCCCTCTCCTCTATTCCTTTCCTTTCTCTTCCTTTCCTTTCCCTTCTTATTTCCTTATTCTCTCCCTTTCTCCTTTCTTCCTTCCCTGTATTTGTTTGACTTTAAACCTAGATTGACAAAAATGGAGGACATTTTTTAGGAGATGACTGGATTCTTTGTAAGTAATCCTGTCCCTTATTGTGGCAAAGCCCAGGAATGGTATTGCTGATTGAGTGAAATTTTGCATTCCTGGGCTTTCATCTTTGTCTCTTAAAGTAAGACAGGAGCTGAAACTACATGATTCCCCTTTTCTTCTCAAATATACCTACATGCCAATTAAGAAATACAAGATGAGAAATAAAGAGTGCTAAGTGTGAATAAAATGTACAATGAAACCACATTTCCACTAGTTGTGCCCAAGAGGCATCTTTAGCCACCCTGCTCCTTCTTTCCAGTGTTAAACCAATTACCAAAGTCTTACCTTTACTATGTCTGAGCAATTTTCAAATCAACTCTTTCTACCTCTTCCGATCCTAGCCTGCACCATCAGTTTCCTGGGTCACATCCCTCATTTTCCGCTCCACCCTTACCCCAATTCAATTGACTTCCCACTGTCATGCTTAACAGTTTCAGGCATGATACTCCCCTGCTCCATATTCCCCACTGGCCCTACATCATAAACAGGCTAAAATCAAACCCTTTTTCCTGCTGCCCACTCTCCTCTCTGGCTCAGGATCCTCTTATAATCCCAGAATGTTGTTGCTGTTGTTGTTTGCTGTGGAGTCGGACCCGACTAATAGCGACCCCTCCTTGAGTTTCCGAGGCAGTTTCACTATGGAAGTAGATTGCCCCATCTTCCTTCCGAGGAGTGCTGGTGGGTTTGAACCGCCAGCCTTCTGGTTAGCAGTCAAGTGCCTTAGGCACTAGGCTACCAGAGCTATCTTGCATTTCTATAAATACACATAAGGCATTCACCTTTTTGATAAACCTTATCTCCCTAGACTAATGTCAATTATTCAACAATTCCCACAAGAGAACCCTTTTATAAGTCTTCTCTGACTACCAGATAGCCGGATGTGCTCCTCCTAACCCCCAGAGAAGTTTGCTTAAACTCCTCAAAAGAAAGTGATCTAGTTTCAAAAAATCACCTCATAGAGCACAGTTCTACTCTGCACAAATGGGGTTGCCATAAATCAGAAGTGATTGGAGGGCAACTGGTACTGCCAGATGGAGGCTGGTGAGCCTCTCAGAAAGGCTCTATCAAGAGAACATTCTTAAAATACTTGTTCAAATTCCATTTGGAGAAAAGACTAGGTGCTGTCTAGGCAATGGTAAGACAGCCCCAGCCCACTCTGCATCCCACTTGGCAAATCAAAATCCCTGCAGTTAATTTGAGAAGTTTCTCCATCCTCCCTGCTAAGAAGCATTCCAGCTGTACTTTTCCCAAGACTAATTTGTTTGTTCTTCTGGTCTTCCGTAGTATGTTCAATATTCTTCTCCAACACTATAATGGAAATGTATCAATTCTTTTTTGGTCTTCCTTATTTATTGTTCAGCTTTTGCTTGCATATGAGGTGACTGAAAATACCATAGCTTGGGTCAGGTGCACCTTAGTCCAAGATTGGTGAGACTTGTCTCCCTTACTTTGGGCATGTTATCAGGAGGGACTAATCCCTGGGGAAAAATATTACACTTGGTAAAATAGAGGGTCAGAAAAATAGAGGAAGACCCTCAATGGGATAGATTGACACAGTGGCACAGTGGCTGCAACAATGGGCTCATAGCAACAATTGTGAGTATGACTCAGGACCAGACAATGTTTTATTCTGTTCTACATAAGGTCATTATGAGTCAGAACTGACTTGATGGCAGCTATGAGCTAGAACTGACTTGATGGCACCTAACAACAACGAACTTGAGAAAGCCCCTTCAATGGCAGCTATTTGAATCAGACCATTAAGCCATTTCACTGGCCATTTCAAGCAGCTTATCAAACTACAGAATCCTTCCAACTATTCTCTTAAGAATGCTCTGATAATTAAATCTACTCATCTTGGCAGTAGGAGCTCTGGTAGTGTAGTGCCTAAGGCACTTGACTGCTAACCGGAAGGCTGTCGGTTCAAACCCACCAGCCACTCCTCGGAAGGAAGGTTGGGCAATCTACTTCCATAACGATATTGCCTTGGAAACTGAAGGAGGGGTTGCTATGAGTTGGGTCCAACTCGATGGCAAATAACAACAACAACAACATTTTGGCAGCTAAGCTATGGTGTTTCAGTGAGGTTTTGAAGACCTTCACAAATGGGCTATCCAGGTTACTTTGGTTTGTTTACATATCTGTTTCTCACTAAATTATAAATTTCTAGGGGTCAGGGACCTTTATATTTATAAAATTTTATCTTTGTATTTGCAGCAACTAGCACAGTGCCTGGCACATAATCTAAGCCCCTGACTGTTGATTAACTGAATGAATGACTCATTCTTTCCCACAGTAAGGCTGTATTTATGTAGTGGTTTTAGTACACAAAGTATCACTTTACAAAGAAGTCCTATTTTAACAGTTCAGAAGAAGGAGTCAAATATAAGTGGCATGATGACTACTATCAATCATCTAAAATATTGATAAGTTACTTTCTTAAATTATTAGATGCCCTCAAGTTGGCTCTGACTCATAGGAACCCTACACAGCAGAACAAAACACTGCTTTCTTAAGTAACTAGATGTGACTATCAATAGACCAACTCACTCCATTATTTAACCATTGGCACCTCTGCCCTCACGGTGTAATTTCAGAGCAGAGATAGGTTTTGAGAGTTCTACAAGGAATACAAAGTCCCTGGTAGTGCAAAGAGTTAATGTGCTTGGCTGCTAACAAAAAGTTTCCAGGTTCAAGTCCACCCACAGGTGTATCAGAAGAATGTCTGGAAATCTATTTCTGAAAAATTAGATATTAAAAACCCTATGGAGCAGAGTTTACTCTGACACATGTAGGATCACCATGAGTAGGAATCGATTTACAACTGGTGAGTTACAAGGAATACTGAAGTTAATTCTGAACCATCATCTGAAAACCTGGAAAGACCCCTCAGCTATGTAAACACTGACTATACATTTCCTGGCTGTCTGGACATGCTAACCATCCAGCGAGAATGCTTCAGTTGGTTCTCTAGAGTTTGTAATAATGAAATGAAAGTAAATATTTAAAAGGAAAGGAGGGTCAAAGGAGACTTACACTAATACGCACACTTACTTGCTTTAAATAGTGTGCATTCAATTATCGGCATGTTTTCTATTAATGGCTGGGGAGTTCTGGTAGCGTAGTGCATAAGGCACTTGACTGCTAACCAGAAGGCTGGCAGTTCAAACCCACCAGCCACTCCTCGGAAGGAAGATGGGGCAATCTACTTCCGTAGTGATACTGCCTTGGAAACCCAAGGAGGGGTCGCTATGAGTCAGGTCCGACTCCAGGGCACATAACAACAACACAACAAAGTGAATTATTCAAGCAAGCTAAAATATGTAAAGGTACTTTAAGGAAAAGAATCCACCAAAACACCCTGGACCCAGCCCCCTCTGAATATTATCATGCATTCCAGGTTATGATTTATTTCTGCCATAATTCTAGAGTGGCCAAATAGCTGCTCCCCTGTATCCTAACAACTGTCCAATTGATGAATTCCCATCATATCTGAAGGAAAACAACCAGGTTCTCTGTGAACTGCCTTTTCTCAAAAACGTATTTTGGGGCTTCATCCCATTCCCCCAATCGCCCCCCCTCCCCACAACTTTATTACTGATAAACTTGAGGTCTTTACATACTGTCTCTGTGCCTTCAGGATCACAATCCAAAAAATGAATTTTAAATTTAATAAAAGGAAAAATCCGGAGACTCATCCCTAATTTCAGGAAGTATTCATTTGTTATACATCACACAACGCAGCTGTTCCAAGGCTCACAGTCGAAAACACTGCAGTCCCTGCGAAGTTAATCCAGCGTGCACTCTTAGAGCAGCTACAACCCGGTGTGCTGATCCAAGTGCTCAGCAAAATCCCTTGATGCCCTAGTGTGGTGAAACGGAATATGATTGCGGTTTCCAACTGTACTATGTTTTCAAAAGTTTCAAACTTACTGCCTTTGTTCAGCATAACCACAGGTACGGTGATGACGGTGACAAGCACAGCAGCACCCAGCAGTCCCAGGAGAACCTTCCACACTGTCTGCAAGCATGGCAGATTATGTCCAATTACAGGGAGGCATTTGGTCCCAGCTTGGGTAGAGGAGTCGGGCCCCGGGATGCTCAGGGGGCAGTGGGTTTTGCGAATGGGAGCCCATCGGAAGAAAGGGCTAGTAGCCTGGGAGGGTTTGGAGTGTGCCTGCTGGAGTTTACAAGGACAAGTGCCCTTGAACTTGTGGCCTCTGAGCACACTAATTTCTCTACCCTTGTTTGCACAAGGCGAAGCGGGATTCGGGTTTGCGTTTGTGGGTGTCTCTCTGGTCCTCCAACGCCGGAAGAAAACCCTCTGGTCCGAGAGAGAGGCCAGAGAGGTCTGGGACGTCCCTTCACTTGTCAGAGGTGGCCCTGGGGCTTCTGCCTAATGGGAGTCTCTGATCCCGTTCCGCGAGATTTTGGGATATTATGGGGAGAATTTGGCAAAGAGGCACCCACAAGGCCACCCTGGGGCTGGAGGAGCGTGAAGCGCGCTACTCACCTTCATTGTCTAAGTCTTCTCGGAACTGAGCTTTCCTGAGCAGGAGCGCAGGCAGAAGGCACCGGGAGTTGCCGAAACAGCGTCGTGCTTCGCTGCTAAGAGCGCAGTCGCTTAGCGCTCCCAACTTTTGGCCCTGAGTTAAACATTAGTGAGCCTACAGCCAGCTCGGAATAAAGGCGCCGCGAGCCCTGGGGGTGGCCGCGGGCGAAGGCGCGCCGAGCGCGGGGCACTGGCATCCCGGCCGGAGGGCGCCCTAGAGGCACCTCCCTCCCAGGTCAGCGCAGGGTGCGGGCGGCCCCGGAACGCCGCGGCAGGGAGGAGGCCGACGTGGACACCCAGCACCCCGGCTGGGTAAGGGAGTGTCCGGCAATGGACTTCGAAACCCGGAGTGGGAGACTCCGGGAACAGGGTCTGTCTTAGTTGAAATGGACGTTGGTTCTCAGATTCTGCTACCTTGCAGGGACAGGCAATGAACAGAGGCCCAGAGAGAGCATGAGTCTTGGCAAACTCACACAGCTCACTGCTGGGACTAAATCCTAGGCCTCTGCCTCTTGCCAGTGAAAGGTATGTTGGGGGAAAGAATGAAGGCAAAGACAGAAAAGATGATACTTCACTTTTGAATTGCACTTAGATGTGCCTGGATTCACCCACTGTCCAGGAAGTTTCCCTGCTTGTCCTGCAAGTTTACCTTTTCATCAAGATGGCCACTAACACTTGAGTGAAACTTACTTTTTCCCAGGCACTCCTCTGAACATTAACTCTGTTTATTTTAGTGGGAGAAAGCTTAAGCTCTGAGAGGTTAATTCACCAGGGCAGGGAGGAAGTCTTGGAGCCTGAATTCAGGGTCCATTTACTTAACCATTACACCACAAGGCATCTTTCAGTCTTGGAAAGCGGTTCTGGAAAAGAGAGAAAGGTCATGTGTGGACTTCCGCTTTCCCCAGCTCCCCATTATGCCCTGTAGGTTTGTTCTGTATGTTCTTTTTCATTCATTAATGAGTTCATTCATCCTGGCATTCATGCATTTGACAAATAAATGTGTGACTACAATGTGCCAAACTCTGTCCTAGAGCTGGGGATAGAGGTGAGACTTGAGAGATGAGATCCTGTCCTTGGTGCTTTTAGTATAAAATACACAGGTAAGCATTTGCTTTTAATAACTGGAAAAAAAAGAAACACATCTCACTGCCCTTGAGTCGAATCCAACTCATAGCAACCCCTCCTTGGGTTTCCAAGGCAGTATTACTAGGGAAGTAGATTGCCCAACCTTCCTTCTGAGAAGTGGCTGGTGGGTATTGAACCACAGCCTTCTGATTAGCAGTCAAGTGCTTTAGTTGCTACTCCACCAGAGCTCCTTTTGTTGTTGTTATGTGCCATCGAGTCGGACCCGACTCATAGCGACCCCTCCTTGGGTTTCCGAGGCAGTATCACTACGGAAGTGGATTGCCCCATCTTCCTTCCAAGGAGTGGCTGGTGG